AGTGGATCTGGGGCTTGTGGATGGATGGTGGTACAGTCAGTCCTTTACAGTGGATCTGGGGCTTGTGACACCACCTTCCTAGCACAGCAGCTGCCACAGGAAAGTCTGCAGGAGCCAGGAAAAACCAGACAAATGATACTCCTGCTTCAGTGAGGCTCAAGCCCAGTTTGATCGTACGAGGGGCCTTCGCAGCTCTGCAGATTGCTGGTTTCCAGAGCTAGGTCAACCCCCCTGCCAGGCTTCATTTCCCCGGCCTGAGCAGGCCCCCATCCAACCCGCAAACATAGCCCCAGACATAGCCCCAGACTAGTATGGAATCCTCATTGGGTTTCCCCAACCTGTTCTCAGCATGTGGCTGCTGGGAGGGTGCAGGGCCGGACCCAGAGGTTCTGGGATTCTGTGAAGCTGAGCAGCATATGGGCTTTAAACACAGCCTCTCCACCCTGAGGTTCTCCTGACCCAGCTAATCAGGCCACAAGAGAGCTAATCTCGTCACCACGACTACCAGGCCACTGAGAGAAAATCCTCCCATCCCTGGGAGGGAGAACACGTACCTTGCTGACCTGGAGTCTGCGCTGGGAACAGTATTTGTGAACCTGTCATCATCTTTGCAGATTCATGAAGCAGATGTGAAATCCACACTGGGTCACTTTCTCTCCTTGTCTTGTCCTATTTGTTTGGAACATGCTTTTCAAAGGCAACAGGTGGAAGAAGCCAAAGTGAAAGCTTTAGAAGTGAAAGCTCAGTCTCACTTCACTTACAATGACAGCAGCAGCAAGTCTTGGAGACCAACCTGCCTAGATTCCATGAAAAAGAAGAAATACATTTTCTTTGGTCTTTGCAGTTTTTCTCAACTTTGGACTCTCAACTGATGCTGATTCATTCTTCAACTCAACCTGCACTTTAAATGGCTTCCAGGTGCCTGCACATCCCTGGTATTTACAGGTGCAAGGGGGAAATCCTAATTCTCCTTGAAGGAACTTAGAAATCCGCCAGGAGAACAAAAGAGGCCCAGGTTCCCCTTTGTCTGGGTGTTAGGCGGCCTCCTGGGCCTGGGCCATCTCAGAGACCATCCATTTTCCACTCGGTCAGCACTCACCGACCCCCTTGTCCTCACTGGGCTTACCAGTCGTCACCTGCCCTTAATCCAGAACATGTTGATGCATAAAGACATAAACACCTCTGGACCGGGATCCTAGGTCAGCTGCATCATGGTTTCCAGAAAAACACAGCTCTTTCAGTGTGTAGCCTCAGCATTTCATTTGAATATGACGTTTGGGTGGTTTTTCTGCTTCCCACAAAGTAATGTTAGTGTGTGCTCTCGGCAGTCTTGTTCCAATGTTTGCTCTCTTCTCACAGACAATCCCACAGTTTTTAATGAACACACATAGGAAAAGTGATATTATAACATTTGGTACAACTGGGCATACCGAAACTCTCCAAGTCGTGTGTTTTTGCCTGAATCCAAAGAACTCAATAAAGTCATCTGACACAAGTTTTGCATAAAGACGGCCTGGTCTCCAGAATACATATAGAAAAACATGAAGTTAAAATAGGCCATCATGCTTGATTATAATGAAGT